TTTTTTTTTTTTTTTTCTTTTTTCTTTTTTTGTTCTCAACTTTCGTTTGAACTAGGTTGTATATAAGGGCCCGAGGGATCCTCTGTTGAGATCATATACAGGCATTAATTATATATAATACCCAACCCGACACCACACCATCTATCACCACCACCATCATTTTTTAGCATAATTTCACCGTCTCTTATCATCCACTTCGAGTCAACCATGTCAGATCATCTCACCCTCGCCAAAACCCTCCAGAAAGCCGACCTCATCGCCTTCAACTTCCCCTCGGCCCGTCTCAACGACCGACTCCCCCAGTCCCTGGCCCGAGGCCAAGCAGTTTTCGAATCCCTGGGCTTCCGCGTAAAGATAATCTACACCCGAGATCTGGACGTAATCTGATGATACTTGGTGCCTGCCCAGCCGGCGATCAATTTTGGAAAAGGATTTATGAGTACGGGAGCTACTGGAGTTGTCCTGGATGGCCGGCGATGCAATTTAGGGGTACTTCTCTATGAAACCGGACGGATCTTTATAAGCAGTGACTGTCGATACCTAGACCCACCCGATTGGTTAGGACAGACCCTAGGGATTGACACCAACAGATTGTTTGATTTGCACTCGGAATGTTCCATTACAACCCACTCGAAGTGGTTACCAGCGAGGTCAGTTCATGCAGGTAAATGCTACAAATTCGCGGAGAACGCGGGATAAACATACAAAAGAGAGTCAAGTTTCACCAGATCACACCTAATGGGATTCTAGTGGCAGAGGCTAAGGGTATGATCTGGGTGAATTGCCCTTATACGCCATTGACTATATTGGCCTGCTACTAACCATCTCAACCGGTTGTTGAATCTCAGGTGGGAGTTTTGCCTAGGTAAACCGCCTAGAGTACTTTGATTTTGCCCCGCAACAATTCCGCGTTCTGCATATATACATGGGCTTCTTCCCGCTGTGGAGGACATTCTCTTTGTTAAGTGAACATTTGTCCGATCATTAACCTTTATTTTGCCCATAACTTGTCTCGGGAAAATTCACAGCTTACATTCCATGCCGATATGAAAGGTCCGCTTACTCTGTCTATACGTGATGTTGGCCAATCTCTAGTTCCAAACAATACCATAAACAGGGAGAGTATCGGTTTAAAGCCATTCCACTTTTATTGGAGACCCATCGACCTCGACGTACAAATGCGAAGGCCAAGATACTGTATGGAGTACTCTCATATACGCCATCGCCGATCTCCTCCTGTCACAATGGTTCTGCATCTCCCCTGTGTTTGCCTCGCTCTTGCCTTCCAGCCCTTACACCCTAATGTCTCGGTACAGTGAGAATGCCCCTTTCCCTACTAGCGGAAACTTTACTGTTGGTGCTCACCAATAATATCACAATCATGATGTCAAAGGACATTTGAAGGACGGATATCTCCAAGACCCAAGTATGTTGTGCAAAAGAGATTGATGGTCACTGCCAGCTAATTTGCTACGCAGGAACTACAACAGAACAAGCGTTGTCAGCATCTACTACCACTTTAACTTTGATGGACATCCTGTGTCCAGGTATGGGAATACCAACTCCAGAAGTATTGAACGCGAGCGCCTATCATTCGTCACATTCCCGGGAGCAGCCACCTGCGGTAGCAACTGTTAGCAAACCCAACCATCATCCCATATGAGTCGAGAGCTAATCGGCTATGTGTATCAGGAGCATGAGATCGGGTCTAGCTTCAAGGCTACAATCTATTGTTCTTTCACCAAGCAGTGTAGTCATCCAGATATTTCCTCACCCTCTCTCCAATCGGCCTGCGAGGCTTGTGTTAAAGATGGGTATGCGGGATCGTCCCCTCCAGCATGGTGACTGTGGCTAAGTTTAGTTCAAGGTGCGCCAACCCATATTTTTGGAGCGACGACTTTCTTGGCAGAGTGGAATCCACTGCCAATAACAAGCTAGCCTCCTGTGTGGATTCGGCACCTTTGACAGTCGAGGGCTGCCAGGAAGGGCTCAGACATGCAGCAAGCTATGTTGGCAGCCAAGTAGCCTTAAAAGGTGACCGGGTGTGTGGAGGCTTCATTAATATAGCAAATGCGAAAGGCGCGGAGGCGGGGGCTATTACAGTGAGCGGCACATGCATGCCTGATTATTCCAACATAATCATCCCAGCATAATCGTGCCCACGGGATCATAGAGGATCAGAGGAGTCTGCAGCGGCTTTCCTTTTGAGTGTTTAGTATTGATTGCTCTAAACTCCACAGAATACATAATATTAGGCTCCCGCTAGGTTGTAATCATGGTCAAAGCAACCCTTGGCACCGTTCTTTCTCACTACTGTAACTGGCCGATATGTTTCTTAGACATGATTCTAGCCAGGGCTACCTCGCGATGCCATTAGATGCTGCAAAGTAAAAAGAAAAAGCACGGCTTTCAAGATTATGATACAATAATCTACCATAGAAGAGGGGACTGAATGACGAGCTTGAAGAGCATGTCGGAACCGGACCACCCGGTGACATACAACGTAGAGGCAGGGAACGGGGTGTTATGCCGAGAAGTGTCATCATAGCCATCGACTAAATCACCATCCCAGCGCCAGTGCGCTCCGGTCCGCCTGATGCAGGGGTAATGGTTCCATCACAGTACCATTTGTCTGTGTCTTCAGCTGTTGCCCCAGGCCTGCAATCTGTCCTACTATTATGGCTAGGCACACCAAGCCACCTGTTGAGATATAGAACCCACTGGAGCATGTTCCTCGATGGGCTATTAGGACTTACATTCAACGCTGGACGCAGATCAGCCAGACATTGTCATAATTCAATGATAAGCAGCAGACTTTGGCAAATTAAACAAAATTGTATGTCTCAACTAATCAGCTAGGGGGTATATTTGGCTCTGGGCCAATCAAATCATCCATATTATAGGTTCTTCAAGAGATTATTACAGTACCCTTGGAACTGTCCCTACGACAATGCAGGCTTCATTTACGTGGAAGTTTGCTCAACACAACTGGCCGTACAGCCAGATTCGCTTCACGCCCTATGTGCTTCCGTAGAGCCTGCTTCAGAATCATCAGAAAAGTGGGACATTTCCGGATATTGCATGTGAGGTG